ACACGCCAGACCCTTGGGTTCATTGGGTGACTGCAGGGCTAATTTAGTCTCAGTGTTGCCGGTGATTAGTGGTCATCCGTTTCTGGATAGACTGCAGTCCTGATGGAGTGAATACGTGTTCTACTTCAGATCCTATTCTTATCTCTAAAATATCTACTGGATTAGTGCGATGACTATTTCTGTTACTGCTGCACAGATAGCACCCTGCTTAGCAGACACGTACACAGCTGACCTCGTGGATCAGTGTGCAACGCGAGAAGCAAGGCAGTGAGAGCATGGTTTTATGGTACACTCTTCGTTGAAGACAATTGGACCATTCTGATGAACAATACATATAGGTGCCACATTGGGACCGTTAAAACAACTTTCGAGTTCTGGGTGTTGAAATGGTGACTAGGTGGACCAGCAGCCCCTTTCGCTAATGGGAACATTAATGCTTAGATCATCCGAATCAATCTCCAAATCTACCTAATAAACTCCTATGACTCAACTACCTTTTTGTAATTCTGTGGCATCAGCAGTCGACACGTCAATCAGCATCCACTAACCAAGAGTCCAGAATAATTCACATCAATTAACCTTAAGATTAGCATGTGATAAAATTACGTTTACCGTAGACCTCTAATGCCATGACTTAGAACAGACTTACCCGTCCCACTACCTCGTACCGTTGAGCAGCCAAGTTTCTTGGTTCCTATTGGGTACAGTTATTGATACATTGTTTATTTTTATTATTTGCTTTTCTGCATTATTCCTTTGCCGCGGAGGAAGAAATTTGTACTGCATTGAACTGGCTACTGGTTGGTTCGGCGGAGCTGTACGCCACCGAGCGCGTCCCCAGGTTGCGGATCGGGGAACGCCTTCCTTGTGAAGGTAACTGTGAATAAGTCTCTGCTGTTCACAGGCGAGATGAATAAGCAGTCGCGGACAATCAGCGGCCGCGTCCTAGAGCGTGGTGATTGCTGGGCTGGTCATTTGCTTCCTCATTAAATACCATAAGAGCTCACAAGACACTGTGTCAAAGCCAATGTGACCGGTTATAGGGTCATTGACCACTCACTTCTGGTCACAGAAGTGAGTACGTAACGGAGGGCGCATGAACAACCTCGATGGCCACCGGCTTCTATGAAGGCGTATGATCCATTCGGCTCTAAACGGCCTTCGTGCTTCTCGGCGAGCTCGGTAATCCCTGCTGCTTCATTTGGGCTCTTTTGGCGTCCTGAGTAGTTTGCCTCTACTCGAAAGCCGCTCACCTAGAGAGGCGGCTCCCAACGGTCGTGGTATACGTCAATCGCCCCACTGCCTTGCGGGTTAGGTCTTTATGACCAAAGGTTCCAAGTGGGGTCCCCCAAGTCAACCCTCTTCCTCGGCCCGGGCAATCGGGAAGTAATAGGCCTACACAACTTATGGATTCATGTCTCAACTATTCTTCGTTCGCTCTCTCTTCTCTCACTCACTCGAACTGCTCTCATCGGCCGAGGCGCCGGAGGCTAAAGCTGCCAAACCATCTTTCACCGCACCACGGTTTTGTCGCTTTATTCCACGTTTGTTCAACCCCATTCTTGGTTTTCCTCCTCCGTTTTCGAGTTCACAAATCGTGCCGCCTTGAGCAAACGTTCTCGTCATCCGGATCAGGAGCCTAGGTCCGAAGATGCGCCAAGTCGTGTTGACAAGTCATTTCTAGCGCCCCGTTCCCAATTCAAGCTGGCAACCTTCAATGTTCGGACGCTGATGCAGATTGGATCACAGGCAGCCCTTGCCCGCACTCTAGATACTACGGCCATTGATGTCTGCTGTCTCAGTGAGACCCGTTTACAGGACTCTAGTACGACGTTGCGACTAGTTTCACCGTCTGCATTTCATTTTGCGCCTATCTGGAGACTCAACCGCCGAAACGGCTGGTTATGCTGGTGTGAGAATTGCGTTGAGCACACATACTGAGGCCGCGCTACCAGATTGGATCCCTGTTAACACTTAACTATGCGCGATCCGACTTGAAACTTCAGCGCGACTCTCCAGGCGAGAAACCAACGGAGGCTATCTATTCATTGTGGCAGCGTACGCTTCCACAGATTGCAGCCCAGAGTCAGTTAAAGAGGAGTTCTATGGTCAACTGGCCGACTTTCTCCGTAAAAAGCGCCGTACCAACATGGTAATGCTCACCGGGGACTTGAACGCGCAGGTCGATAGACTTGAAGTTGACGAACGTAAAGTCGGTGGTCAACACGACCATGGCACTCGCAGAACTGACAACGATAATCGACTACTTCAGTTTTGCGCCGATCACAGCCTTTTTCTGTCGAGCACTAGCTTTCGAGGAGCCTTGCGCCAACGGGCCACCTGGAGACCTCATCACCTGGCCAGCCATGGACACAAATCGACCACATCGCCATTAGCTATCGCTGACGGAGTAGAATACATGATTGCAAATCAATCTGGAGTACCTATCACACTTCGGATCACGCGCTGGTGTGTTACAAGGTTGCACTACGTTTTGATGGCTCTCAGCACCGTCGCCAGAAACGGGTTGACGTAGCTAAGCTTTCTGCCCCAAACGTTCTCCACGCATTTCAGGATGCCTTGGCCTTACGGCTGATGAATGCCTCATGCACAGACATTAAAGTACACTGGACACACATCCGCGGCGCCAAGTAAAACTCTACAACCCTGGTCTGTGGCTTCACCAGTAGTCCTGTCAACCAGTGGATCTCTGCATGATCCCTCCAACTTCTCGAAGCCCGTCGAGCAATTCCTGCTATGTTAAATACCATTCATCACGCAAGACTACTAACGCTGAGCTCAAACAACTTCTCCGGGAAGATCGCGAGGTCTGATGGACGCAGCGCGTCATTGAGATGCAGCAAGCGGCCACCTCGGAGAATTTCCGTAAGCTTTTCCTCCTGATCCGATCTACTGGCCGCAAAAGGCCGATTGTAAGCGAAATTTTATGCGAAACCAATGGCGAGCCAATCCACTGTCAAAAACGCCGACTCGAGCGTTGGGCCGAGCAGTTTGAGCAGCAAATTAATTGGCCAGCCGCACTAATGAGTTCCCATTCTGGAGTCCAGCGCGCTCCCTGGTGTGTTGACGTTTGACCACCATCCGAGGCTGAGGTTGCCCACGAGCTTCGTCTCTTAAAGCGCTACAAAGCCTCTGGCCCAGATAATCTCCCTCCGGCTCTTTAGAAAGATGGCGGCCCATCACCTGTTCAGGAGTTAACTTCTTTCCTTCAAGAGGTCTAGGTCACTGAAGTTATCCCATCTGATTGGAACCTAGCGAATATCGTGCCCGTCTTCAAAAAGGGTACCCGAACTGCCGTGCCAACCACAAATGAATTAGTCTCATCTATGTTGCTTCCAAGGTGCTCGCAGCTCTGCTTCGAAGGAGGCTCAGCCTGGTACGTGAACAAGACATACGTGAAGAGTAAGCTGGGTTCCGCTCAGGTCGGAGTTGCATCGATCACATCTTTACACTCTGCCGAATACTCGAGTGTCGTCAAACATTTGGCCAGCCAACGAACGTTGTTTTCTTAGATATACGAACCCCGTTTGATTCACTCGACAGAGCTGCTCTCTGGATTTGTCTACTGAGAAGGGGAGTGTCCGAGAAGTATGTCACCTTACTTCAAGCCATCTATTCTCAAACCTCGGGCCGAGTGCGAGTGTACGGCGGACTTTCGCCCCCCCTTTAGTATCATCAGTGGCGTGAGACAGGGTTGCCCAGCATTCCCATTCTTGTTTACTTTCGCTATAGACGACACCTTGGAGAGCGCTCTGGAGAACTGCGAACCCAGCGACGTCGAGCTGCTTCTGGTGGACCGACTTTGGAGTATGCAGATGACATCGCCGTAAAATGCGCTTCCTCAAAGATCGCACAAAATGTTCTGTGTAGGGTGGAGATGTCTGTCTCCCAGTTTGGAATAACCTTCGCACCATCGAAATGCAAGGTTTTCTTGCAGGACTGGGTAGGCGCTGCTCCTGACCTTACCCTTCTAGGTCATGCAATTGAAGTGGTGGACAAGTTCGTTTGCCTCAGAAGCTGCCTCAGCGCTAATGGTTTAAGGGATGAGGTCTCTTTGCGCGTCTTCAAAGCTCGGGTTGCTTCTGCCAATCTCCGCCATCTCTGGCGTCGACGTGATCTGAGTCTAACTCTGAAGGCGGAGTGCCACAGTGAGAGCGGTTCACCTCTATGGCTGCAAGACTTGGCCTGTTCTCGCAAAGGATGTTGAGAGGCTGTCTGTTTTTGATCACCGTTGCCTTCGGAGCATTGCTGGTGTACGATGGCAACATCACACTAGGAATGAAGTAATTCGACGAAGGATTTTCAGATCAGACAGACTTTGCCGGCCACTGAGCAGCATACTTTCTCTGCGCAGACTTGGGCATATTCTCCGCATGCCTACTCATCGCTTACCTCGCCGTGCCCTCTTCGCGCACGCAGCAGTCGGCTGGAAGCGAAAGCAAGGTGGCCAACGTATGACTTGGGCCAGGAGCATGAAGGAGCTAACGTCAAAGTTAGCCGTGCTCGGGCACTCTCGGCTCGCTGGCTGGAGTGTGAAGGATCCAGAACACACATGGTTGAAAACACACTCGGATTTGGCAAGAAATAGTGCACAATGGCGGACTTGGTGTGACTCACCATTCCCATGAACATCGTTTTCTCCCCTCTATCTTCGTAAGTTTATTGTATTTTCCATACGTTGTGGCACTATGCCAATTGTACTATTGGCCGTATTGAATATATTGTTAAATATATATATCACACTAACATCAGTAAACCGGGATCGTAACAACTCACTTAACTGCTGCTTTTCTTATTGAAGTAGTCTGGCATAGGGGCACCATGGACGAGATAACCGAAAACAATGGATTTCATTCATGTTTTTGTTTAAGAAAAATGCTATTAATAAACATGTCTATTCGATTGCAGTTTTCGTTCTTAACCTTACTTCCAAATTACTCTAACCTAGCCTCCGGCCTTTTCTCTCGTGTATATCATAGATTGAGCAAAGGCCAGCTGGTACTTGATGAAAAGCCACCTGAAGAACAGGAGACATTGAGTAAGTCCTTTAACCCTCCTTACTATATGGTAACCCCCTGTGTCAAGCCTGATGTTAATGAAGTCACCAGCAAAGTGTATAAAGAAAGTATTTCATACATTAACGTCAAAGCGGACCACCAATGTAGATCCCAAATAGAACACCGCTTATAGCAATATCCTGTCCGTGTCCCGATGCGGTGATTGGTCTCACGATTTCTTTGTCATTCAGCAGAGTAAAATCACTGGGAGTCTGCATCATAATCAAAATGAAAAGTTGTGTTAATGAATTGCAGAATTTCACTGTTCAACCGGGAAGCAGTGTTTAATTACCAAGTACTGGTACTCAAGACGTTTACAACGGTTGGCGAATGAGATATGATGGCACAGTCTGTTACCGAAGAAACGCCCCAATTATAGACCGTTTCGTAATTTATGTGCTGAGATCACCTATGCGTCCTTCTGTGTACATAATATACAATCTGAGATGGAAAATTCACTAGCTATGGATTTGCTACGGAGAAGAGCACTTCTAGTGTCGGCACAAACGAATATGTATTAGGTCATTCGAAAGAGCACAAAGGAAATGAAGTATAGTTACTGTTTGCAACAGATAAAGTTCATTTGTTTGTAATCATATGGATTACTCTTCTGGTTTCGCGAAGTAAATCATGCCAGCAAAAGGAAGCTGTAATGTTAGAAACTGCGGTATAATGTAGTACTCGGTAGCATTTCTTGCCGGATTTGCCTAGTGCTGTGAGTGCGAACAAACTAAGGAGCTGAGTGGTGGGGTCATTTTGAAGCGCTCATTGTGTGAATGGATTGTGACGCGCAATCTCAATGTGGACTGCGATTCGCATTGAAGTGAGCATCGGTCAACGCGATCACTTGGACCGTAACTGACGAAGCAGGTGAATAGTTGTGTTGCCACCTGAAAACTTTGCACGTCGCAATCTGTTACCAAGTTATTTGATCTCATCAGATTGAGATAGCAGGCATCGTATTCGGGGCCATTGGGATCTTCGCCGAATACTCTAACCCTTCAGCCACCGAGTCACGACGGGCAACGCTTGGTTTCGGTTAACATATAGGGGTCGATGTTTCCTATCTCTACCTTATGAGCTTATATAAACAAAGGAGATCTTCACTCGTGAATGCACCATTGGATTTTCAGTTCACTACACAAAGCTTCTCACGGACAACACATCTGCTATGGGTAGGAAGTGTGTAAAAGCGGAAGACTTGGATAAAGCGCATGACTGATCCCAGCCTGTCCACACAGGTTTTGCGAACGAGTCGCACTTGGGTACATGGCTTCACTTGAAGGCATAATAAAGCCATGAAAATGCCCAAGGAACTTTGGCTGAGTGGCCAATGCTGACAGTCCGTGAGCCTTTACTTCGATCTGGTTTATTGGTTGCTGCCTACTTATTGATGTAACACCGAGGAGGCACGCAAGCCGGTGACTGTGTTGTAGCCCCCATAATGATGGAGTCACTCCGCTAATCAAGATCTCTTGAGCAGGACTGTGCATCCCATCTTACAAAACACGATCAATAATCTCCTGAAAATTAAAATAAGGTGGTGATATCTGATGATAAGCATTGTAGCAGCAATCAGACCGCAGGCAAGTAGACCTGACACATCACTCAACCGTAACTGTCTGACGTGGACTAAAGCTCACACAAATTCTTCACCTAGGTGCGATGTCAGCCGCAGCATCACACAACACCTCCATGTTACAACCTTATCCCGTCTTCTGACGGCAACTTGCTTTGGCGACCATTGGAAACGTCACCGTACATCTGATGGGTGGAGTATTTCATGACCGTCATCACTTCGTGCACCTATTGTTTAGCCACCGGGTGAAAGTTTGAGGCTCGCTTTGGCCTTTCTCACCATTTTATCGTAGTTCTTGAAGCATGGAAAGAGTGACGGTGTAGTTACCAAGAAACTGTCTCTCTAGGCGACTCATCTAACGCCACGCCCTATGGTTGTCAGGGGCGCAAATGAAAAATACCAGAAATGTGTACAATCGAAAGCATCGTTTTCTGCTGGAGGTACAAAGGAACCAGACAATTATGCTTCCTACAACAAGCCATGGGCGTTAATATTTTGAAGGTTCTCAAGAGCAAAACAAGCCATCTACCACAACTCACAGGCTATGAGAGAAATCACTGTATAGACACGAGACGTTGAGAAACACAGCACTAGATACGGCACTGGCTGACTAAGCATAATATTCGCAGCACACAGTGGATACAATTGAATGCTAATTCGCTAACAGGATCAGCAATGGGATCCACTCATTCTGTATCACGCCCAAGCCCATGCAAACAAGACACGCTTCAAGTCAAGTCAAGTCAGGTCAACAGTGCGCTTTATGCATCCTTGAAGAGTGAATATTCAACCACAACGCACATACCAATGACACAGAGGCAATTAATGAAAAGTATAACCTATTGGGTATGGTGCGTCAGCAAGTTGAAACCGTGAGAGATGATATCATCGAATCAGTTTGACTAGTACTTCATGTTTGACTAAATTTGGATCCCTCAAAAAAGCGCGACAAATAGAGAACTAGTAACGTACCACAAGCCCGTGGCTTTGTACGACTGTCTGGGTGAGGAAATCGCGATACGTTCCGACAATGTACAATGGAGAGGGTGAATGACATCAGTGAGTATTTCAGACGCCAACTTTTCGCAGGAGTGAAATTGATTGTATACACTGATATTAGTAATCACCATCGTTGAAATCCGCTACATCGAGCAAGATTCTTCAGTGATCTGTTGATCACTTTGAAATGCCCGATTAAAATGCAAAAAATCACAAGTGTGCAGTACGTCCAGTGCGGTATTGTGCAAGCGGTGATAAACCGTAAGATCAAATAACGCGGTACGGATGAAGACCTAAGTCGGGAGACAGAGCGATAATCTCTTGACCTTATTGTATATTTCGTTCACGTGATAGAACCGCGTGAGGTCACGACTCAATATAGCTCCTAAATATTCTACTGACGTGCGGGGTTCGGACTGACATCATTAATGCAAAGATGTAGTGTGTGCGTGAGGAGTCGCTGAGAGCGATTTTCCTTGGACAGGGAGAGAGAAAGAAAAGAACATGTTTACACTTTGATACGTTCAGTGAAAGATAGGAGGACTTAGACCAAGCCGTGAGGTTGTCTTAGAAGTACTGCAATTTGGCCGATAAATCCGTGATATGATTGTGCATATCAAGGATCATGTCATTAGTATGTTTTAGCAGCATGGCGTCCTTCAGAACGGGAATTGAGCTAATGTAAGTGGAAAATAGCAATAGGGGCAAAATGGCTCCTTGGAGGACAACGGAATTTGTGGTGAATGAGGAGATTTTCTGCAGAATCTGCTAAACTGCTTACGTTCGGCAAAGTAGCCTGCAAGAAGAACTACTATAGAAGGGTGAACTCCCGAAAAGAGCAGATCGCGTAACAGCAGTTCATGAACTACACAGTCGAAAGCAATGCTGTAATCTAGGAAGTGGACAGGCTTGAGTTTTCGTTTGCTATCGAGTGATGATAGCATAAGTGTTTAAGGCAACCTAATGCATCTAAGTAAATCTAGAACTATGGTGGGCGTACTGAAAAGGATCACTTGGGAGGGTTCGGACAAGACTTATTTCGAGAATCCTTCGTTTAAATATCTTGAAGGCCACCGATGCACATGCAATGGGCTGTTACTGATAGATTCCTTCCTTTGGTACAGGTTCGATGCTGGCGCTTCGGCAGAAGTCGGCTATATCGTGTTGATGCAAGCATATGTACATTTCAGAAAAAGGCTGTGCTAAGATATTTGCACATTCTTTGAGGACAAGAGGAGACAGTCCGTCCGGACCGAGCGCTTTGCACGACTGTATTGTTATTAATTCCTTATGAACCGTTACGCTATCCATGGGTGGTGAACGTTGTGAGGGAAAGTTGTATCGCAGAAGTTGGTAAGTGCAAGGCTGGATCATGTTTCTGACCACAAAAGTTGCGGCTTAATTCATCCTCATCGAGAACGACTGCGTGTCATTTAGGACGACTCCACTCAGGTACTTTAGCCTTTTTCACATTTGTTGTCATTTTGTATCAGCCGACAGCGACCTTTCTGAAGTAGCGTCTTCGCACTTGAGAGCTTTTCTTTGAGTCTGCACAATCTTCCAAGGTAGTGAGATGAAAAACGGTCTGCGAGGATGAAAAATGGTCTGCAAAAGACAACAAATATCGAAGCAGAAGTTCAAATAGTTCGTTAAAAGAACACAGTGCTTCGATACATCAGTCGTAAAATAGGTTGAAGTTTGTTTAGGCAATGGTTTGGCGTAGTAGCTCGATGTTGTGAGGAAGACATTGTCTTCGCGTTAAATTGTTATCTTTGCAATGATATCCTTGGGATTCGTTTTACCGTAGGTAATGGGAGACAGCTTTTTATTGGCATGGTCTGAGGTTCGAAGCGGAGCACTGTTGCTGACAGAAAACATTTGTAATTTGTTGACAAGCACGGTGTCTAGGGTTGCCTGTAACCTGATGGGAGACTGCAGGTTTTTCCTGTAAAAATGAGTAAAGTAAAATCCATATGTTCAATAACATTATTTGTAAAATCGTCATGCGTTTTCAGCCTGAGCTATAGGACAGCTGGCAGAGATGTGAATGTTGGTAAGTAGAATCTAACGATAGCCGCTCAAGTACCTGGCTTGTGTATTACAGTTATGCAGCCAATGAGCTGCGAATAATGACGAAAATTTGTTTGTCGGCGTGTACCATGACGAATTTATGTATGTAATTACGCAACTACCACGGTTCTTGTATGTACACTGGCGGCCAACACGATACCCGAAAATCCGTCCAGTGCGACAAACGTATTTACCGTCATCATGAAACCAGGTTCCTTGTAGCATGATAATACGAGGACGAGAGTATTCACGGCAGTTTGTTATACTTTTGAGCTCTTTACACTTTCCCACAGGTGAACGGATATCATCAGTAGTCAAAATGGGTTTGCTTATACCACTGCTTACAGAGCATTTCAGGAGTCCACTCGATTATCGTCTATCTAAGTACCAGAATAAATATTAATTGATAGTGCATTAATTGGTTAGTAGAGGCGTATTGTATGAGTTACGTCGGATACTATAATGCGTCGCAATTCATTGCACAATAAGACTAAACGAGATGAGGTCGTCATCCATTTTGTAACTGAGTAACCAATAATCCATGAATTTTAATTAAACCTAATGTATGACCACATTTCTCACACTAGTTTGCCAACCAATCCTCTAGCAAATCAATTTTGCTTCACCTTGGCTTTTTTAATCGTCCAAAGGAGTGAAAAACAATCGGGGGTTCAGCGCTCCAACATCGCAGTGTACTGCGCGACAAACTACTCGCTTTCTTGGAAGGTTCCGTTCTAACCATCGTGGCCGAGACTCAAAATCCACAGACTTCGTTTAGCGCAGTGATGAACAATTTGATGTTTGGCATACTCATTGCGTTTGTGGATCGCGGCACATAGCGTTGGTCTGGAGAAGTATGCACTCAAAAGTAAATGTCAGGCCTTTCGATCAATGAGCCTGTAGCTAAATCGAGATGGTACAGCGCATTCCGTACACACGACGGTAGTATAAAAACAAACGTTATAACATCGTTGATCTTTTGCATGTGATTGCATAGAACAACGCTGATTAGACTTTAAATACACGTATTTCTTCCCTTACAGTGGCGGAATGTTCCACCACGTATGACCTGGAGAATGTTCTTCATGAGATATCCTCGGACGATTCGTACCAGCCAATAAAATGTTGGCATTCAGGATCGCCCAGTTCTTCAGAATCGACGGAATCCTTTCCTAGCATTTCATTCCAGTCACCCGGGGCAACTGATCAATCTGTCCTCAGTTCCAGCTTGCGAATTGAAGCAGCCGACGCCAACACTCGGGATATCGCCTACTTCTCTTCGAACCTACTTCCGTCTTATGTGCAGCTGAGGGATTGCGTCGACCTTGATAGCCCAGAGGTGCCCCTCTACCATTCCCCCACTCAAATAACATTTACCACCGAATCCCGGCGTTCGCCTAGCCAGTCAGCGGATGAGTCAGTCTTGCAAACGTCTACACAAGTGGCAGCTGCAGACGGCCATTATTATCAGGAAGAGAATACAGCCGTAGTTTGGAACGGTGGTCTCAATCGACATACAGCAGATAGACCCCATACTTTGAAACTCCGCAAATGGAACGGGTCACCTATGCTCCCAGAGCAACCGCTGTCTTTCACTAGTTGTTCATCGAAGCTGGAGGAACAACTGGCCAGTGTGGATCATGCGTGGTTTGGTGCATTGGATATGCCAAGTGAGTCAGTACAAGGTATCCAGCGCCACTGCAGAAATGCTTGGAATTAACCTTTTTATGTTTTTATCTGACATGGAAAGGATGGAATATAAAGTGATTTCAGAGTAGCACTAAAAACACTTGTCGAGTGTAGTGCCCTTTAAGTTCTTTTCTAAGGTGTTTTGTAGACTTGCGATATTTCAATAGACCGAACAGAGGTAGAGCCATTACCTGGTTATTTATGGCTGTTTTACTCGTACTTCTAAAGTTTGCCAAACTTGTCTCTCCCAATTTATGTCTGCAATACCTTACCTGAGTTGATCTACGCAGCCGCTGTTGCGGCCTAATCGCATTCCAGCATGGTCAGACAGATATACATAATGTCGGATGGTGGCCGAGTGGTCTGCACGCCTGGTTTGCAATAATAAGGCCGCAGGTTCGAATCCGCGTAGGGGTGGGCGTCCTCGCGGCATACTCAGCCTGCGCGCGACTGGTGGTGATCGCGCAGCAGCGAAGCACCGTTACGCCGTACAGCTGACATATCATTTTTTGTTGTTTATTAATGTTAACTAGTTGATCTGGTTTCCGTCCTGCGTAAATTCTTCCTAGCGGCATCAAGAAATGGTCATTCACAATGCAGCAGGAGGGAAGAGGGATGGGTCTGTCCCTGGACCATGTCACCGGGTTTAGCCAAATCATCCGTTTATCTTAGTGGCATCAACGAACTTTAATTGACGGATTGGTGTGTAGTAATACCCACGCTTAAACTCCCGAAGAGCTTGTTTTATCCACGAAATCATCACACGAATTATTATTCGGCCTCAGGCGAACTGTAGATGTTGAGTGAAATAGCGGATCCGTAAGGCACCAACGTGTGCATCATTGCGCAGTTTTTCAAATACGAACAATACTGGCCGTGCACCACATTGCTGATCAAGGTGATAGAGCCCCCTAAGTTCATCTGAAGCACATTAATCGTGTTAGAAATGTGAACCATAATGCAAGGCTCGATAGTGCACAAGTAAAATATTAAAAACTGTGATTATTGCATGAGCAATCCCCATTTTATTTCATTTTGTTCTAGATTTTAACTTGGAAGATGTCGATTTATTATTGTCCCCTTCGAATCGTTTACAATCACCGAATTCCGAAAATATCCCGGAGTGTTTTTGCGAACGCAAAGACACTAAAAATGCCGAGGCAGCCACGGCAGAATCACAGGGTACGATTTTTCTTGAAGGAGCAGGGCAAGACACTTCGGCAAGCAGTTCGTTACAGCCAGAACTCCACTCAACGAAGTCAGCAGTAGTTAACAGCTTTGGTCATCACAGTGCGCCTGATGAGGAGGATGGAACCGGGCTGGAGGGGAAAGCGGTCCATTCGGATGATACTCTGACATGCTCGGAGGCAGAATACTACTTGAAAGGTCCGATGAAATCAATTAGACGGGGTAGAAAATATCACAGGCGCCGGTATGGTTCCCCGGATAGGGGGAACACTTCGGACAGTGACTTTGAGTTGGGTGAAAACGAGACACATGTGCGACACAGACGTCAGTCCGTGGGATTTCAGTCCATTCGTTGTCCAAAACTTGTACAGTGTCTGTCCACTCCGAAGTTTCAGAATGCGCAGGCCGACTCAATACTCAAACCCTGGTGGCCGAAAAATGTGCCTCTCTTGTACAAATGCGAACACAGTTCAGACGATTCAGAGACAAACCTTAAATTCGACTGCGTCACAAATGCTACACCAGCAAGCTACTCCCGAAATGCGGGCCCGACGGATAAACACAGACAAGAAAGTGATTTACCCTTTATCACATCGAAGAAGGATATATATCCCCGCAAAAAATCGGGTTTGAAGCGTAATGGCTTGAAACGTGGCAATGCCACAAAATATCCTCATGAAATTCGATCCCGACGAAGGAGAAAACAAATGGAGCTATGGCAGTTTATCCTGTGTCGCCTCCAAACAGCACGTCAATCTGCTTTTCAATGGGTTAATCCGGTCACTGGAGTGTTTCGCATTGCGGACACACTGGCAGGAGCTAGAGAGTGGGGACGTTATCGTAGTAACAACCGCATGGATTACGAGAAGATGGCTCGAGCGATGAGGTGAGTTCACACCTATCGTTATTAACATGGATAAAATCATGTACTAGGGTCCGTATACACATGACCCAGTCCGTAGCAGCGCCAATCAGTATCCACCCTACTACATATTTTGAGGCATCGTTAATCCAAAGTGTTTCGGTGTAAATGGCCTGGAAAATGCATGCTTCAATTAAAATATTTTCCAGGCTTTGTAACTAAAGTACATATACAAGGAGGTACTCTTGTAAACGGTGAGAAAGCGAACACGCTACGTGTTTTGCGATTTGCTTGAGTTGATCAGGTACGAGTGATCTACAAGTGAAGATGACGTTGTGACTCAAAATGCACTTTACAAGCTTTTTCAATGAATATATGCGTAGGTACGTAGGTGGGCATTCTGAACGGAGTGTATAGACGGACTTCACAGCAGCTGCGTTTCCCCAAAAGCAATCATCGCGGTAGTTTGCTGTCTGGATTACACTTGATCTTGGACATGCACGTGTGGTAATGAACTCTTAGGTCTCGCAGCGCAATATAGCTCCGGTCATTCCGCATGTGCATCGGCTCTGCGGCGATTCGCGGTCCGAGTGACAAGTGGATTCGGAAACAGACACTGCAATAATGATACGAGTGTGTGAGACGTCGTTCCTGAACTACGGACAGGCTATCAGTAGTTATGGCTATGTTCGTACATGAGTGAGATTTGTATTCATCAATGCATTTGTTGTTAAGACATTCCGAAATATATCTTTCAGGTGCTGTTTTCTGAAATAGCTTTTTCTACCGCCTATATCTTCTTGTGAATGCAAGTAGGAATGTTGTTCTTTTGGTAACATCCGTGACACTTACAGTGTCAACTTGTAACGGAGGGCACGCCAGTAGCTAGTTGAAACGGTGTGTCTAAGTAAAATTGTGACGTAACCGATCATACGCATTTGGATAGCTCTGTATACTCCCGTTCAGGTAATGTGCGAAAATCCCGCGACACTCACCGACTTGTGCATGCAATTGGTCGGAATGATGTGGACCCATGGCAGTGTCTATCGTTCGAGCCCTACCACGCTGGCTCTGCAGCGTGCGTTCTTATATGGTGTCGCTCTATTAACTATATGTTTCAGTGACAATTGGCTGAAATGGGTGCTATTGCACTATAATAGTTACCACCATGTTCTTGACAACCGTCCAAACAAGCAGTATGAAAATCTTCTGCAAATGAACACAGTCAGGACGACGGAGAAGGGAAAGTTGCAGAACCAGCCCCTCCACAACTGTTTAGGGTGACACATTGTGGGGAAAGGTACCCCCTCTCCTGCTCTTCTGTAGAAGTAAATTAGTGATCAAAATCGATTGACCTAGTTAATCCATCTAGAGATATTGAGGCCAAGAAACGAAAACATATATTCGCCCCTCCACCGGTCTTGTAGATAAACTAGCATGAAAGTACACCTTTCCATATTTTTGTTTGCCAGATGAGATGCAGGTTTATCGTCATGGCACTTACACACACACACACACACACACCACGATTAGACTGAAATAGCGCAAACTGAGCAATCACAATCTAATCTATCGATACGTTATGAGCATATAGAGAGAGTAAGCGAATAGACCCATTTCAAGGAAATAAATATGTTCTAGTGGTGACCGCACGAACGGTCTACCATTAAGTCAGCCCAACTTCTGGTCCATATCGGCGTTCGTCGGTCGTTCCTTAGTTAGCCGGATTTCTATTTCGCCAAAACGCTAGTATTCAAGAACTGGCCGGTAATTTCTACCAGTGAGGTTATGCTTTAATTCAGCTTTTTCTTTTGCTGTTGTTCTGTCGCTTTTTGATTGCATGTTTGTTATGTCGAATAGCATGTGTCAAAGCAGAAAATTCACCCGTCACGGGTGCATAAAAGCGCATTTTTGACTTGCCTTGATTTGACTTGTCTGGTATGGAGAGGTCTGAGCGGGATTTCACTGAACACTGTGATCGTAGGTGACGCCATTAATGGGTCGAGGGGCACTAGTTGAACATATAGCTAGACTGAATGAACATATTTGTAGCATGAATAGTTCATAATAAGTTTCAAAAGCGTCTTCCGCTATTGCGCTCAAAAATGTGGAAACCAATAGAAAAATTATCCTATGTACTGTAACTCATCTGGCGTAGAATTGCAGCAGTTTAATTAGCTGTTTTCTGTACACTGTTGGAAATGAATGAATAAAACTTGCAGACTCATATCTGGCAAGTCCACTGAATAACCTCACTTGAATAACACGGAATGCTGCGATCGGGTCAGGTCGGTAAAGTATAGCGGCGAATATTAAAGAGAGATCACTTCGCCCTCTCACTGTTCTTGATGGTAACTCATTCCACATGACTGACAATTTAAGCTTCAGCGGTGTGCTTATGGTCGACTTCATTTTGAGGAGCCAAATCAGAGGTTTCCATTTTAGCTACTGGATGGACCATATCAAATCGAGTCTTTCGGCAGAGATTTAATTAATTAAAGCAAGCTGGAATTACAAACCACACTGCCTCGTCATTGGCAAAGTGATATCGCAACAGAAAAATCGATGTGTTTGTAGCTTGCAACCTAAAAGTGGAATAACCAGATTTCGCCGAGTGTGCCAAAGTTCAACCACAAAACGAAATCAATTGCGAGATTGCATTGTGTTGACAAACGGAACTTCACATAACCATAATTTATTTGCAACTACTAGCTAATGTGCCGTTTCTCAAACTAGGCCACAAACGATAAGGGACGAGGAACTGAATTTGTCGCTTTTCGTGCATAATATCATCAGTGTTTAGTGACTACCAATAATAGTAGGCACAGCTTCGATGTCTAGACTAGGTTTAGTCCAGGGAGCTCTCAAATCAGGATGCATGACATGCATTTCAGTACAACAATCTACAGTGACTTCATTACAATCGTACGCTTGCATGCTAAGTTACCGTCAGCGCTCCGTGTACACGGTTTGATTTTGTAACGTAGTCATCAAGACACAAATGTCACGGTTGTGACTGTAGAGAACACCAGTATAAGGCAAACAATAGTTTTCAATAATTCATCTACGGGCCGGTACAAATCATATAAGGTCAAAATACAAAGAAATGTACGGTGATTGGTTCAGAGGTAGGTCAATGGTTAGACAACAGATAGTTCGTCGCTGTCTTATACAGATCGGTCAGGGCATCGTAATCACACTGATGAAACCGGTGGCAGATTGACGGTTAGGTTGACTGCGGTTCGGCCAAGGTAGACAGAACGATTGAACAAACCGTGTGCAAGTATAAAAGGAGTTGGATTATTCGGACCGCAATAGGTTCTGCTGTGCCAAACATTCGTAGACGCCAACGTATTTTTGCTAGGGGACATGGTAAACCACAGAAAACGCATTCGGAAGGTTAACCCTGTGACCTGATTCCAATAGGTGGACAAAATCCCGCCTGTCAAAACTACGTTCGCCAACCATTTAGGACTATGTTCCTTAACGCAATGTAACAATCGACGAGCCACCCCACCATTATATGCTGCACCACAGGTGCACTCAAATCGATAGACTGCGTAAGAGGAGTCTGTCCTTGTTGCACACAGGAACAAGCGAGTTGGTGATGAAGATACAACGCATTTCCGCAGCTGAAAAACAGTTTCTCATCGACTGTGTCCGTTTTCTTCTTTAAAGATCAGAAATGTCAGCACCTTTAAAATTAATGTGAATGAAGGCAGCTTTCTTTTTAACTACTTGCTCAATACCCGATGTTATTTTGAGCTGTATGTTGCGCTGTATGAATCTATCCAAATAGCCATCTTTTCATAGTGTTTGGTATGGAGTTCACTTCATCATCTAGAGCATATTTCAGACAGTTCTTTCGAGCCATTGACTTGAGACAGCGCACTAGGTTGCGCTTGTATTGCGGCGGTAGGAAAATACTGAAGTTTGTACACTGACCGGTTCACGTTTGCTTCCTTTTGTTCCTCCTTAACAAGGTATCATCAGTTCGCCTACTCAGTTGTACGTCCAAAAATGAGAGCTGGCTCTTTAGCTCAAGTTCGCAGGTGAACTTGAGTGCCGGTTGCGCGTTATTAAACTCGATCACTATTTCATCTTCACTTAAATCTTTATTTGTCATTCAAAATATATCGTCCATATAGCAATCGTACAGGAGGAAACGATCTATAAGGGGACTCAATGATCCATTTTCTAGTTTGGCAAGAAAAATATCCGCCAGCACTTGTCCGAGCCGTGACCCCATTAAGATTCTGACATTCTGGACGAACCGTTAATCCGGCACCGGTTTCAGCAGTGCGATTACGTAACCCCGACCGACGAACTATTTGCATTCTAACCACTGTCCTGCATCTGTACGAACCACCGTGCATCGTTTTATAGTTTAAGCTTAAATGATTTGTATCGGCCCGTAAATGAGTCATTGAAAACAATTCTTTACCTCAGGCTGAGGTTCTTCATGAATCGCTGAGACTGCTTAATATTTGGTGACTGCAGCTGCAATACCATCGCAATGAGGTTGGAACTTACCGTGGTGCGGTGGTTTGTGTGCCTCAGTAATCCATTGAGCTATGCTGGGTGGTGATTTGTTGCACCCAGAGCCACGCATACCAGATTGGTCAAAGGTTAGAGGCCAGACAAAATCAGCCTCCTGGTCCTCCAGGTTGGGGGTTGGAATGAGGTTGGCTCCTTATTCCTTAAAACGGACTCCTTGTAGATACCGCCAAACCCGCTGCCTTGTGGTCAGGTTTTTGAACCAAAGCCTTTGGTTGAGAAGCCTAATCGTTCTCCTGTCTAGGCCTGGGCAACATGACAATATCCTGCCCACGCAATCCTATGAATCTTTTCTCAAACAATTTCCTGATGCTCTGGCCAACGCAGAGGATAACCAACGGTGCCCTATCTGCTGCATCGAGTAGAGTGGACAGGGGTTTGGATGCTACTGCTCAAGCCTTCCCGCCCTCTTATTCCCCCTCGTACGCTTTTTCACTCTTATCGTGCCGTTCCAGCTTCACTTCTAT